TTTGTTTTGTTTATTTCTTTATCATCAACAGTCGTAGTTAATAATTACCAGTTGTTTATGAAGGAAGGGAAATTATTCATCATCAACAATAATAACGTCATCGTCATACGATTCATCTTCGCTATCACTGGCTAAGCCAAAGTCAATCGCATCGCGAGCAGGAATCAAATTGTGGTAGAATGAATGATGTTTGCTTGGGATGAACTTCAATAGCTCCATTAAATCGTCAAACTTTTTTTGGTTGATTTCGTTTCCGTTCGGATACAAACATTCCATTGGAGTTTCGCAAAATTCGGTCTCATCAATGCCTCTCTTTTGTATGTCGATATGTTTCCATGTGTCCTTCTCTTCGACAATGATATGAAACAAATCATTTTTCAAGTAGAGAATTTTTCGAAAATGATTCCAGTTAATTTTTACTTTTTGCACATCTTTCTTTCGGTTCACAATCATTTTTTCCAATTGTTCAGAGGAAATGAAATCTTCTGGCAGCATTTTTGTTATTTCAAACTTTGGTTCGCTCACTTTCGATTCGGAAATCACTTTTATCCAATCATCTGGGGTGTAAACATCACCAGTAAATCGCTTACGCTTTTCAATGAGGCTGAAACAGCGATCACAACTATTGTAGCTGTGGCCTGAGACGAAGAATTTTTGCTCAATCGATTCAACAGTGCTATGTTCAGACAAAAATTTCTTCAGGAACAATGTCAGTTTAATGTTTCGATTCTGGCCAGGACATGAATCCGAATTCAAGATGATTTTTGTTGTTTCGTTCGAAATATGGTTGTTGAGATGTTTTATGAGACAAGATCCCACCTCTTGGCCGCCGCGTGATGCTATATTCTCGGCCCAAACATACATATAACCTGTTAGTGTGGCCAAACAAAAAATGATGAGCGAAATGGCAAAGTTTCAATGAATTTCATCGGTAAAATAAATATTCACCTTTCTTTTCAATTTCATCGTACACACATAAGTTGTACGTCCATAATTGTCGTTTGTAGAAAACGACTGATGTGGTGAGAGATGGTGTTTCAAGTGTCTTCTGAAGGTCGAATGTTAAGACCGCTGTTTTTCCTTTGCTTTCAATCGCAGCTTCAATATCATTGCGGAAAGATGCATTGGTTCGTTCGACGAGTGACAAATGTTTTTCTTTTTCTTTTTCGAGCTCATTTTTTCGGGCTGTTGACGTGAGTCTACTCTGAAATTTTGTCTTCATTTCATCGCAAGTTTTGCATGTGTCGGTGTGCCGTTTTTTAAACGATAAATTGTATTCGGTATTAAAAATCGACCGAAAAATATTTTCTTTGGGAATCTCATCTTCATTTATGTTGCGAAATTCCATCACACGTTTGAATTCACGGTAAAGTGTAATCACATTCAGCGTAGGGCTCAAATATTTCCGAGCGGATTGTTTACGGCCGTAATGAGATTCATATTGTGGAATTTGGTCAATAAATTGCGTAATCCATTGCCTCTGTTGTTCTGTGATTTTGTTTTTCGGTGGAGCTCTTCCACGATTTTCTTTTCCCGACGGATTTTCCGTTGTAGATTTGATAGCCGCATACACTCTCGACGCCGGCACTTGTAAACATTCAAGAAAAAAATCACGACAGACTTCTTGCGATATTTTATTGGTGTCGACAAAACGGTAACTGCAATTTATGTCCCGATTTTTTGAAGCGATCAAAGGAAACAATGCAGATTTTTTCGATGCAACTGGTTTTGTTTGTACCGATCCTCGAATAAACAATGTTTTCTGCGTCCAATCAGAATGTAGATAAAATGCATCGAAAATTTCTTTCTGGCGCAAGACATCAATTTTTATTGAGCATAACTGTTTCAAGCATTTGCAAATTGTTTGAGGCTTGAAGACTTTGGCTTTCTTAACTCTTCCAGATCGCGTTACATGTTCCAATCCACGTTCAACTTTTTCTTTGG